AAAAATCATGTTTGCTTGTGGAAAGATGCGTACAGGTTTTGGCTATCGAATAGTGGAAACCGCAGGTCTCTATCTATCTTCTAGTCAAAAAGCAACCGCCTGGCTTGTATTTTGGAACGGATAGTAGTATGGGTATGTTGGTTTTTATGTAGTATCGGATCCTCCCTTTTTCTTGAAATTTCAATTAAAAATCGTAAACCGGGCACTAATCAATGCAATTGACGGGCACATATCTTTTTCCGGGCACAAATAAATGAAAAAGCCGGGCAGAAAAAATAATTTTTCGTATTTAGCCTATCTATTTTCTCTTTCTTTTTCTACTGTCGTTCTAATGTTCTTTCGTTTTCTTGCGCATATCTATATATAGGGTTGATCATCGGCAATTTGTTATTATTAACATCTTAATGTTTAGTGCACCGAACTCAGGACGATCGATGAAGAAGTGCCGGCGGAAAACTTTGTCAATAGTTGACGATGGATGAGGTGGTGACGTGGCAGAAAGCTTACGGGGCGGATCCCCGTGAGTTTTGAAAGCTTGATGAGGTACGGGAAGAGGACGAGACAAGAACTGCACGAGGCAAAGTCCGTGAGGGAGCTAAAAACAGTCCATCACCCACCTCTGATGTACGCATCAAACAAAAAAAAAACGAACAAATATGCCATGTAAAACAGAATCACCTTGAATTTAAGGAAAACATTTGATAATAAACATAATATCATCACGTTTTCAACAAAACAATGAGTAGAAAAAAACTATGAAATCACGTGTAGATGTGCATGCCATTCGCAATACTAATCATATTCATTTTTTTTTCATTTTGTTCACTTTTCAAAGCCCCTCCCGGTGTCAATATTATCAACTGAAAAACAATATTTTTTTTGTCTGTTATAGTAGCACACTCTCAATTACTAATTCCACGCTTGATCAACCACCTGTTTAACTTAAACCTAGTATAAATACGAGATCTTTGGCAGATAGTTTATGCTCGACACTAAGCAAAGGTAAGTGATCACTGATAAGAAAGCTTTACGAAAAACAATGAGTTGGGATCAATATCCTGAGTTAATCGGACAAAGTGGCTATGGTGGATCATCTAGTTATGAATCATCGTCATATAGCAGCGGTGGAGATGCTGGTTTTTATGGAGCTGGCGCCGGTTTAGGTGCAGCTGGTTATTCAGGCTATGAATCATCTTATTCAAGTGGAGCTGGATATGCTGGAGATGTCGGTTATGCAGGCGGTTATGATAGTTCAGCTGCATATGGAGTTGATGGTGGCTATGGTGGAAGTTATGATAGTTCAGCTGCATATGGAGTTGGTGGTGGCTATGGTGGAAGTTATGATAGTTCAGCTGCATATGGAGTTAGTGGTGGTTATGGTGGAAGTTAGCATATGTTCACATTTCCCGAGGTCACTCTTACTGACATTACACGATTAGCATCGTCTGAGTGATTAGAAATATT